CCTCTCTGCACAGGCGCAGCGCGGGCCGCCTGCCCCTCGCCCTCACTCCCCCAGAGCCTTCTGGGAAATGTAGTCTTGCAGGAGGTGCTGCTGCCCACCCAGTTTGCATCGAGAGCTCCTCCGAAATGCACAGTGATGGGGGGAAACGAGACGAAAGCCCCAGGACCTCCCCCCCTAACCCTGGCGCACACGTTCCTCCTGCTGCCGCGCCACTCTCTCAAGTTCAGCGCACACGCGCCCCGGCCCCCCGAGTCGCGCCTCCGCCCGCGGGCTGGCGCCCCTGCTCGGGCTGGCGGCTGCGAAGCGACTTCGCTCCCCTGTAGATGGAACTGGGTAGGTGCAGGGAGGTGGGCTCTGTGTAGCAGAAGGGCAGGGGGAGGGAGTCTGCACGATGCGCTGAAGGACACAGGGGTTGGCGTGGGGGAGGGTCCTCGGCTCCCGCGTGGTGCCTCCCCGGTGGGAACCCCGCTGCCCTGGTGCGGAGCAGAGGGTTGGATGGCGTTGCCCGGGTGTGAGAGGACCTAGCCGAGCTGACCGAGATCACCTGTCAGGATGACAGAAGGCTGTCTGGGAGCCAGAGCCAGCCCCGGAACTGGGTCTGCAGCATCTCTGCTGATCGGCTCTCTCCTCCTGAGCCCTGCGATCGATACCCTGGGCTGCCTCTTCCCAAACCCCGGCTGGACCCTGACTCCATCCATCACTTTGGCTTCTTTTCCTAATGAATATTTTGTCTGCCGGAAGGGCTGCTACCGGAGCCTCGGCATAGGGAGATTTCTCATCAGATCTGTCATTTTCCTTGCTGAGGCCTGGGAAAGACCTTAATGATCCTCCTCTTCCTTTTTCTCAGCGGATAACATTTCTTCCCACCCTCACACAATCGAGACACAAAAGCCCGCCCTTCCCCATCACATGAGAAGAAAGATACTCATTCTCTTGTTCCTCCTCAACCCCTCACATTTCACCCCATATTCATGCCTTCCGCTAAGGGGGAATCGAATCGGAGGCAAATAGATCCAGCTAGGTCTGTGACTCCAAGACCTCTCAGATTCCTTCTCACTTTCCCCTCAAGAATGATCTCTGAGGGCAGGGAATCCTAACCTGAGAACCAGAGACGCCCCCACCCCGAGGGTGTCCAGGATCCTGGTGACATTGAACGCAATCTTGTACCCAGGTGTATTGTTCTAGGGGATGTAAAGGCAGCGAGCGGCTGTCAGAGGGGAGAGGTGCAAGTTGGTGTAGCAAGAACCTTTCTAGTGAAGAGGGCAAGCATATGGCCCCCTTGACTCCAGCAGGAAGCTTGTCTGAGTCACAGATGGTAGGAGAACAAATGAAAGCAGCATTGTGGAGGCCTCTCTCTCTCTCTCTCTCTCTCTCTCTCTCTCTCTCACACACACACACACACACACACACACACACCTTTTGAGTTTTCTCTAAATTTGCTAATGAGTCTTGGTTTCTTTGGACTAACTGATGCCACCAAAAGGGGTGTCACCCGGAGCCGCTCTTCAGTTTGCAGATTCTACAGCTTGGGGTGCAGAGGGGCAGAATGATGTTTTGGTGGAAATGCAGGTATTTGTCCAAAAACTTAAAGCGAGGGGGGGAAGAGGGAAATAAAAATCCCCAGAAGGGCTCCAGTCGTGGCTCCTTCATGGCAAATGCTTGAAGCACTGTTTATTCCAACGTGTGATAACAAGCACCAGAAAACAACATGCAGCATTCTCCTCCCGCCCGCGCCCTGCGATCCGGAGACAGGAGACCTGTGGCCACGGTGGCGGCGGGAACTCATGTTCAGGAGAGGTCCTGGGTGGGCAGCCTGGCGGGGTCAGAGTTCACTAGGGCAAAGGGCCTGCCTGTTAGCCTCCTGCAGCAGCTGGAGAAACCAGACACCTTCTTCTACCTCTGGCCCCACTGGGCAAAGCGGTGCTGCCAGCCCTGGTTGGAGGGGACATGAATCCTGTGAGGACAGCCCTGTCCTTGGGCACTGGGCCTAGCCCTGCCTTTCCTCTTAGAGGGAGAGAGAGAGGCCATAACCTAAATCAAGGACTTCTGGCTGATAAGAAGCCGGGCTTTTGAGGGGGAAAGCCTGCTCTGCTCCAGGGGAAGTGCTGAGCTAGGGGTCCTTGGCAAGAGTGCGTACCCACCCTTTCCCCACGGAAGGGCCGGTTGCTAACTTCGGCCCCCAAAGGAGAACACTTTATCCATCACATTGTAAATAAATTATAAACACGTACACAGAATCCAAACAACGTTCCAGTAGAAGCTGCTCACAGACCCCCACGGGGCCAGCTCGGAGAAAACGAGGGTCACCCCTTTGTTCTCTGTGTCTCTGGAGGCAAAACTGTCCCTCCTTGTCCTTGAGTAACCATGGGGACAGCTCAGGACAGAGAGAGGTTCAGACTTAGAAACACTCTCATCCCCGTAACCTCTCTTTTTTCCTCAAATCCCTTCCCCCAAATCAAAACAAAATGGCCTACGTCTTATTCCCAAGGCCTCTGCAGTATTTGAGGGTATAAATCTACCCCCACAAGTGGGGGGCACTCTGCCCCAGAGAAGAAATGATTGGCCCAAAGGCAAAGGCCCTGACTCCTGGGCCCCCCAGTAATGCGCATACCCCTGTGAATGGCGTTCGGGGAGGTGAGGCGGTTGGAGGGGTTGACTCAGTCCTGAGCAGAGACTGGCACAGGCACATTCGCCTTGGGGATGATAATGGGCTAATTGGCACTGGGATTGGAAAATGGCTGGATTCGTCCTTCTTCATCCTTCTCTGGGCAACCCTATGGCCAGGGCAGACTGGGTAGGAGCCGGGTGGGGGACAGATGGCCCTGTCCCTGTCGGCACTGTGTCTTAGGCCTGGGGGTTCAGAGAGGGACTGAAGGCGGTATCCGGAAGAGGAGACAGACACACCAAAGACAAATATGGAACTGGGTCCCGAAATGAAGAAGCACCAATAGCATCGGCCTGCCCTGGACGGGGTGGGGAGATAGGGCCTGGGAGGGATGAGGCAGGAGGGCAAAGGGAGAGGGCACGTCCATTTGTAAAGTGAGAAGGGGAAGTATGAAAGAGGGCCAAGAAGGAGAGGGGCGGGGCAGAGAATGCAGAAGAAATGGGCCCATCCATCCATGTCCTGGGGTCTGGGGCAACTTAGCCTCATGAACGGTCCTTTGGGCCTTTCCAAAGCCCTTGTCTGGCCCCACGGGAATGGAAGGAAGGCCTGGCCAGATTTGGAAAAGGATCTTGAATGCCTCAGACCCAAGGGGTAGGGAGACGGGCAGAGAGGTTGAGGGGGGGGCTGAGATGGAGGGAGGGGCTCTTAGACCCCCCAGGTTGTGTCCCAAGTGTGAGACCAAGCCCAAGAGGGAGCTCAGGGAGGAAGGTCAGGAGCTGAGGGCCAATGTGAGTTTAGAGAGTTGTGTGGCAAGAGCCCCAGCTTGGAGGGGTGGAAGGACTGAGGGAATAGAAGAAACTGACTCCCCAGCAAGTTTCCTGGCTTTAGTTTCTTGAATTTCAACGCAGTTGCAATGTATCTGCTCCCCACTGAGTCTAAGGCACCGGGACCCTCTGAAGGCTGTTTGCCAGGCTGGTCAGCCTCCCCGGCTCGCACATGGTGGGCTCAGTGGGCAGCAGAGGCCAGAGGAGAGTGGGGAGCACACTGAACTAGAGCTCTGTGGTGAGCAGGGCAGGCACGAGGCCTAGATGGCAGCCATGGAAGAGGGGTCTCTAAAGCACTGGTGGGCCCTCCATGCAAGGGACCAGGAAGAAGGCTGCGGCCGATTTCCCCTCCCCCCGCTTTTATTGAAGCTGGACAGGTTGATAGAGGTGGCTGCTAGGAACCAGTCTCAGGACTGTGGTCTCCTGCCTCCAACCCTCACCTGTAGCAGAGGCTGTGAGGGTCCCTATGACCTAGGTGAGGTGCCTGGGTCCAAGCAGGAGACAAGAAGCTCCTGCCATGGGGAGCTCGGGCGGCGGCAGGACAGGAAGCCACCGGGAGGGCTGCCCGGGTTCCGGACAGCTGCTGCCTGCCCGTCCATGGATGGCTTCTCAGAGCTCAGAGCCCAGAGCGGCGGGGAGGGGAGTTGGAGGAGCAAGAAGAGGGAGGTCCTGGGAGCCGAGGTGGTTGAAGAGGTGCATCCTGTTCGGGAGGAGCCAGGTGGGGGCTGCTTACTGCTTCTCCACGGCACCCTGCTCAGCTGTGCTCTCGGGGCTGGGGCCTTGGCCCTGGTCCTGGGCCTGCCCGTGCCACGGCGTCTCCTTGAACACGAACCAACAGTTCCCGGCCCACAGGAAGAAGTTGATAAAGCCGAAGAGCTGCAAAGACATCGGGGGAATTTATGAGAAGAGTGAGGGAGCATCGTGGGAACCCGGAGGGGAGGACCTGTGGAGGGGGCAGATGGGGAGAGGTACAGAGGGCCACAAAAACTAACAGAAAACTGGATCCTGAGATAGAGTTCAAGGCCATCACCCACTAAGGGGTTCTCTGGTGAAAGTGTCTAACTCTGTGTCCAGATGCCCGCAGCTGTGGCTTAGTCGCTAGGAGACTCTGGCCCCTGGAGTGGAGCAAGGTCCTTGTTACTCTAGCTCTCGCACACGTGGGACCCAGTTCCCAGAGCCTTCTGCGGGTGGGTGTGGCCAGAGCTGTCCAAGGTGCTCCTTTCCTAGGGCCGAGGCCTGGCAGGGACCCAGCCAGGGCTATATTCCAATACTTATTCACAATATTTAAAAGCCTACCAGCAGGAAGCATTTAGG